AAGCCTATGCTATTACACTCTTTGAGAGTAACACTAATTGCTTATTCCTGTGGCTTAGTATCATGAGACTATGGCCATCCATCTTGTATAGTTCTTGGAACGTAGAAGTAATGTTGCACTTTTATTGTTCATTTGCTTTGAACCATTTGGAGGAAAGTAATCAGGTGTTTGTTTGCACGTCGTCGGGTTTTTCTCATTTCTCTTCTGGCGCAATAGCTTCTATCGCTTGTAGAATCAAACCATCTCAAACTTTGCACAGTGGGGTAGTGAAATCACAATTCAATGGCTCATTCTTGAGATTTATGGAAAGCAGCGTAGTACGCCCCATTTTTTCGCCTAAATCTTTGGATGTGTTCGGCTTCACTTCAAACTCCAGATTTTGCCTAGCGGGATTCTGCACGAGTGCTCTGCTGCCCGAGCTGTCCGAATGTCGCTAACCGGGAGTTTTTCCGCGATACTTGCGTTATAGCCACTCACAAGTAATGACGGACCCGTCAGTTTGGGTCCAATCGAACCGATTCGTTTTTCCCAAATTTCTATTTTCTACTCTTTTTCAAGAAGAAGACTAACAAATTGTGATGGAGGATGCCAAACTTGTTGAGAGAATAGCACATGTCACGCACATAAAATTATCTTGAGATTAAATTTTGGAATGTAATTTGTATCATCTGCTTTCTTTTCGTTCTTAACATGTGAGGCTCCTTTAGGTTTTATGAAGACTTTTTCTTTTTTGTCAGAATGTTTGTTTTGGATTTTTGGTCCATGATTCTCTTGCTTTGGTGACTCGATGCACAAAGATCATTTCTGGAGAAGGTCGTGATCCACGATATATTATTAATATCCAACGAATACTGAGGTTTTTTTATTGCAAGTGGACTCAACTCATAGATGTGTAATGTAATAGTTAATCTTGAATCTGCTATGTTAGGTGTGTATGAGGGTTGACGTCGATTGCAACATACACCAGGTTCACTTGCCACTGCCTGTAATTTATCCCACGGTTACGGAGGTTTGGTGTAGTAAAGTTTTCAATTTTCCTCCTCTGATTGTTGATTACAGGTTGAAGAGAATCCGGGAGTAACTTATGCCGATATTGGAGGCTGTCAAGATGAGATTGAAGAGCTGCGCGAAGATGTCGAGACACCACTTCTTCGTATGCGTTTCGCTTGTCACGATGCAGTTAGGTATAGATGAAGTCATTCATATGAAACTTTTCACTCGTACTTTTGTTAAGCCGGAATATTCAAGTCCATTCTCTCAATGCTTCTGACTCGTACTTTGATTTCAGAAGTGGACAGATGTCTGACGCTAAGTGTTTTTGACAAAAAAGGAATTAACGCTAATGGCATGGTTTTCTTTTGCAGTAATTCGCTTATCACTGTGCAAATAGAGATAGGTGAACTTATGCGTCCGAGACCTTTTATTCGTATTTCTATTAAGCCCAGGATACTCATGTCCATTTTCCTTATGCTTCTTACTCGTACCTTGATCGCTCTTTGGTGGACAGATGTTTGAAGCAGGTGTTTTTAACAAGAAAGAAATTAACGCTAATGACATTGTTTTCTTTTGCAGTAATTCGCTTATCATGATGCAGTTAGAGATAGGTGAACTTATGCGTTCGAGACCTTTTATTCGTATTTCTATTAAGCCCAGGATACTCATGTCCATTTTCCCTATTTTATTACCGAAATTTATTGTACAGAAGAGATTACACGAACTTTGTGGGCTGCCAGAGAGCGACAACCAAGTGCTAACAATCCAAATGCGTATCTTACACCTTGCTCTACGTAAGAAGAAAGATCAAA